ACTCTCTAGTGTTCAGAATTTAACATCCGTTACCCACACCCCTTCTTGTAACTGAGATGTCTAGAAAACCATTTCATTCATTAAAATGTTCTTCAGTGAGTATAAAATCCCAGCGGGAGAAAAAGTGTTAATATGGATATTTCAATAAGCCCCGGGAAAAGCCTACTACACAGCCCTGGTCTCGTGGCCAAGATGACTTTTCTCTGGTTCTCCTCTATTGGTGAGTTTTCTTCTTTGCCCCAGTTTTTCTCATTCAGGGCAAGGCTGTACGTTCACTGAACCTTTCTCACAGGCCAGAACACGCCCCTGCTTGGTCTGCTTTATCTTTCTGTGAGTGTAGTGATATCAAAGTATTTGCAGAGGCCCTGTGTCTTTGGACTGAGAGAAAATCTTTTACTACTATGTAAAAAACTTTACATAATACTTTTTTTTTTTTACTACCAAAGTCTGTCTTTTACTATTATGTGCTGAGCCAATCAAACTGAGAAATTAAAAGGACACTTACCACATTCAACCTCAATTATAGTGGAAGCCATGGTATAACAGAGAAGAACTACTACAACCGGGGTAGATACTGCTGTCAGATGGATGAAATAATAATTACATGAGTCTTGGGAAAAGACTGTAAATTCAATCCTATTGTAAACTTATCTCTACTTATGTGAGCTTAGGTAAGTTAAGCTCTCCATGGCTCAATTACACAGCAGTAAAATGGAAATAATTTTAGTGACTACCTATGCTGTGATGGTTCATTTTATGTGTCAACCTAACTGAGCCACCCGGTGCCCAGACATTTGGTCAAACCTTATTCTGGGTTTGTCTGTGAGGGTGTTTTGGATGAGCTTAACTTTTTCATTGGTAACTGAGGAAAGCAGACTGCCCTCCCTAACGTGGGTGGGCCCCATCCAATCAGTTGGAAGCTGAATAGGACAAAAAGGCTGACCTTCCTTCAAGTAAGAAGGAACTCCTCCTGCCTGGCTGTTTGAGCTAGGACCTTGGTCTTTTCCCGCCTTCACACGCACATGAAACATTGGCTCTTCTTGAATCTTGGGCCTGCCAGCTTTCAGACTGGAACTTGCACACTGGCTCTTGTGGTTCCTAGGCCTTTAGACTCAGAATAGAATGACACCATCAGCTCTCCTGGGTTCCAGCTTGCTAATGGTAGCTCTTGGGATTCTCAGACGCTAAAATTGCATGAGCCAATTCCTTATAATAACTTTATTTCTCTATATACATTCTGTTGATTTTGTTTCTTTGGAACAAAGAAACTAATACAGATTTTGGTACTGAGAATGGTTGGTAAAGTAATGAATATAATGAGATTAGCTAGTTGCTCTTAATGTCACTGGACAAAGTGAAGGAAGAAAAGCATGAACTTGGGGATTTTAGTTCCCAGTTCGTGTGCCCCATAAATGATCTGAAAGCATCTCTGTGTACTCTGAAGAATATCCTTATCTCCTGCAGCCACAGGGCTGAGATTGCTAAAAATCAAACCCAGAATCTTGTCTTGCTTGTGACGGACTGAATTACAATGCAAGTTGAACTCCCAGCCTCAGAGGGTGCTCATTGTTAAACTGAGGGTATTGCACAGGGAAGGTACACCATAAAGTTGATGTGATAATTAAATCAGATAACTCATGAAAAGCTTTCAGCAGAGATTTTAGTATACAATAAGTACTCAATGAGCATTTTTGTGTCTGTCTTTCTTTCTGCAAAGTAGATGGCTTATTTTCAGCTGATCTCTAATCAGGAGGTGACTTTACTCACCATAGGAGATTTCACTTCTTCCCACTACCCATCATCACAAAGAAAATGTAGTAACAATCACCTCTCACTACAATACATATTCCTCAGGTTATGCATATTATATGAACTTAGAAAAATCTAATAAATAATTTCAAAATGGTTGATTTTTAATTCCTCTCACTCAATTTTCTTTAAAAATTTGCTTGTGCAATTTATCCTACTCACCTGCCTCAGTCCAAATCCAAGGGAAGGTAGGCTGTGGTGGAAGTGTTTGTGATCATGATAGTCTTCAGTACAAATAACAGAAAACCCCACTGTCAACAACTTAAACAAATAAGGACATTTATTCAATCCAATCACAAGAAATCCAAAGGTTGGGCAACTGTGGAAGCAAAGTAATAAGAGTCCCAGTTTCATTTCACTGCAACTCATTTGGCTCAGACTGTGTGTGTTGGTTTTGTCCTCAGACTGGATCCTCTCATGGCCCAAATATATCCTCAGCCCTAAGACAAAACTACATCTAAAGTGAAAAGCTGCCGTCTCTGTTTTCTAAGACAGAGAAGACTTCCCCCAAAATTCTCAAGTGTCTCTTTCAGACAACGTCCATTATCTTCAGATGTCTCTGACACCTCATTGGCCAGAATGATGTCACATGCTCATGCTTACACAAATCACTGGATAAAGAAAAAAGACTGTATGATTGGTCCACACCAATTAGCACTCACCTGTGGGGGCTGGAGTAAGTCTAGAATTGTTTGAGCACAGGATATTACTTGGAAGGAGGAAGGTTAGGCTACCAAGAGTATATGCAGTAGAGATTTTGAAAGCAATAAAACTTTCTACCAGAAGCAATAGAAATCTGTGAAGAGCACATATAAAGAATGAGATAAAAATACCCAGTCATGGTTAAAACATAACAATGAAACAAAAGAGTGGCAAGCTTTAGGGATAAAGAAAATCCAGAGACTGGGAGGGCTGCCCGGTACAAAGTTATAAATTATTTGTGTATTCCAAGGCACATAAATTGTTGTATTTTGTCTAATCACCCTGGAAAGGGAATATGATTGTGTAAAAGTCGCTGGGAGTCACATATGCACATACATAAGAAGATGACAAGTGTTCCACATATTCATTCAAACCAGAGGGTCTTCTGCAGTTGGCCAAAGGATACATGGAAGAAAGGAACAGCTTGGAGAATCAAAATGTCTGGACAGGTCAATTCAGAAGTAATCTTTGTCCACAGGTTATAGAAAATACTTGAAATGTGTCAGAAACCAGAAGAGCACCTGCCCCCCAGCCCCCCTGCTATTTTTATTTGTTATGAAAATAACTAGAGAAAATAGGAAAAGCAGATAAAGCAAACTGTGCTGTTTGGCAGCTCAATAGCCCTTGTTAGTTCACCATCCACCAAATAGACATGTTCTTCAATGGATGTTTGGCCCTTCTGTACACCCATGGGTAAATCTGGATTATCTAAATGTCATGGTGGTCTCATTTCCCATGCCTGTGATTGTTTTAGGCATGAAAATGTGATGATTTTTGGCCCATAGACTACCAAGCAAATAAGATAGAAATAAGAAACCCACTCCCAGTCATAGTTTGATGGACTCTCAGAACACTAAGAACAAAGAGAAAATTATAAAAAGCTTTTAAAGAAAGAGGGGGGAAAACCCACAAGTAGAAAAAAATCAAACTTTCGTTGGCAACCATGGATGCCACAATAAAAAGACTAAAGCGCTGAAGGAAAATAATTGTTAACATCAAATTCTATATGTATAAAAATTACAATTAAAGAGTGAGAGCAAAATAGAGACAGAGGAACATGATCTTTTTAAATAACTTGAGTTTCTAGTTTGGATAAATTGCAAAATGGATAAAAAGCCAAGAATGATAAAGATGGGTTGTAAGAAACAGTGAGGAACAAAGAAATTATTAAAGCATAGTCATGTTAGATAATTATTGATTGTAAAAATGTCAATAATGTGAAATTAATGGGGGGGTCTCATGGAGAAAAATATGTAGTATATGCTAAAGTGCTTGTCTTGGGGGACAGAAGGGTAAATATATTAATTGTATCTCTTATTTTTTAACTTTTTTTTTATGAAAAATTACACATAATAGAGAAAACAAATAAACTTCACTATATCTACCATGTAAATGTAATAATTGTTCACACACCATATTCTTACAGTATTTTAAAATAATTTCCAGATATTGTGACCCTTCACCTCAAAATATATCAGTCTATAGCTCTAAATCATGACTTTTTATATAACCAAAGTGCCATGATGACACCTAACAAGATAATAATTTTTTAGTATCATTTAATATCCAGTTCATATTCGAACTTCTCTATTTGTCCCAAAAATGTCTTTTTGCGGTTACTTCGTTCAAGCCAGGTCCACACACAGCATTTGGTTGATATGTCTCTTAAGTCTCTTTTAATTCTGAACAGTCCCCCAGCTCACTCTAATGCAAAAAAAAATGAATAAATAAATTCCACAAAGTGAAAAATTTCAAATTTTTCATGCAACTAACTTAAAAGAAATCAGGTGAGTTTGGTAATCAACTTGTAAAGAAACCACATCAAAGAATGACCCACAATCTGGATTTGTCTGTCTCTTTGTAAGAGCCATTTAACTTGTTCTCTAGCCACTATATTAATAGACCTTTGATCTAAAGGCTTAAGTTCAAGTTTAACAGTGTTGTTAGAAGTAGTTCTAAGTAGTGCTGAGCTCTCCACCTTACATCTTACCATGAAGCACATTACATCAAATTGACCATTTTTAGTGATGCAAAGTTTGATTGGTGGGTTCAGGTGGTCATGGTCTGATCCTTCCATTGCAAAGTGCATTGTTCCTCCTCCTTCTTCCTTATAACCAGCAAGTAATCTACAGGATGATTCTTTGTGCTTTTAGTAAAACTACTCTTGGGTTTAAGGGCGGGTTAGGGGGTGTAAACTAGAGCTAATTAGAAATTAACAAAATGAGAACACAATATTAAGAAGCCAGAAAATAAACACAAAAAGGGCAGAAAAAATTTATTTTAAAGAAACGAAAATTGGTGACTTGCGTTTGACTGAGAACCAAAAGCTATTCTTAGAAAAGAGAGATAAAATAGAAAAGTATTTGGCAAGTCAGACTGAGAGGAAAAAGAGATAGCATGCAAATAAACAGCAGGGGATATGTAAAAAATCATAAGAGAAAAGTGTGTTCCAGAAAATATGGGTGAAATTCTGAGAAAATGTAAATGACTAGGTTGGCTCCATAATACATTTTAAAACCCGAAGTAGTCAATATGAGAAATTCATCTATTTAAGTTAGACGAATAGGCAAAATTAGTTTATTAATGAATGTAACTTGTTACATTAACAGGTTGAAGAAGGACATCATTATGAAAATAATAATAGCTAACTCATACAGAAATTGCTGTGCACCAGGCACAATTCTAAGAGCTTTAAACATATTAACTCATTTAATTTCAAGAAATGCTGCCAAGAACTTGGTTAACTTCAATCTCATTTCTGATTGAATTTGTAACAAAAAATATATTTTAGGAATAAAAAGAAGCATACTTATTATAAAAATATGAAATTATGCTGGCTACTGGAAATCTATAGCAAGCACATTATACTCGATGGTGGTATTGGAACTTTTCATATCAAATGTCAGAAAATCAACTCGAATAGTTTAAACAGAAAACGTATTTCCACAAGTAACTTGGAAGTTCCAGGGAATTTATCTAGATTGGCAATACCTGGATCCAAGGTAATCCTAACTGGGGTACAAAAGATTATTCAGTTTGCATTGAAATAGCAACATATCCTGGTGCATATAAACAAAGATTCAATTTACGAAAATTCAAAGTACATACAAATTTGTCAGATGCCCTTATGCCCTGGTCCTTTGATTTTGTCCAATGTTCTTCCAGTTGATTCAAGATTACTGAGAATGTAGAGAACTCAGAGGAGCCCCCTCCTTACTATACTCCTGCCTTATCCTCGTTTTTGTCTCCCTACCACATCTCACCCAGAGCCCTTGCTCAGAGATGGCTTCTGGTTTGGGTGAGGTGTTGCCTGAAGAATTTCTGGATCTCCCCCCAGGCATGCTCTTGGGCTGCGGCATGGGCAACAGGGTCCCCTCCCCAGAGCAGAGGTCTGGAAACGGGGTATTTAACGGAACGGGAGCGATTACGGGAAGTGGGCTGACCTTGGGAAGCATAGCATAGGGGTGCATAGGGCGGCTCCAGGAGATGGCCTGCCCCGGGGTAGACCAGCATCCTTCCATTGCTTCTCCCGTGACTCTTCAGCCGCTCCAGGGCCTGCTTAGCATATTCCATGCCATTGAACACTTGGTCATTCTCTCCTATAATGAAGAGGATCTGACCCTGGGCCTTTTCAACAGGAAACACACTCTGCTGATTCCGTTTTTCCCGGGGGTCCCCCCTGCAGTGGAAGAGGCATATAGCCCCTGAGACGTGGATCTGTGTGTGCTCCAGAAATGACTGGATGGGTGACATGACCAGATCCCTGTACTTGATGGGAAAGTCAAAGACGGCATTGGTCCCATTGATGCAGACAATGGCTGTCACCTGCTTCAGGAAGCAGGCCATGGCCAGCCCAATCTCTGCACCTTTGCTCACGGAAAGCACTCCGATTCCTGGCCCTTGGATCTGAAACACAAAATAAAGAGAACCCATTACAGGTCTTACACTGAGAAGGAGCTGTGCTACAGGCCAGGCTGGAATGATGGGCATGAGAAATGTGAGGTAGGAATCCTGGCACTCGGGTTCCCCAGCTCCTGTGACAGAGAACACTACCTACCTGCTCTCTCGAAGCCTTATTATCTTATGGGGGTGATAATATTACCTACCTTACAGGATTGTTATTGAGGATAGAATGAAATAAGAAATAAAAACTCTTTATCAAAGACAGAGTTCTATAAAAAGCTTGAAGCATCTAATGCACCAGCAACAATCTACATCACAAGAGCAGAGGCAGGTAAGCTTCCCAAAGAATCAAATTCTTCTTTCCACTAGAAAAAGAGGTTGCTTAGGTTCTTTATAATATGATGTTAGTGTGGTTCATATTTGAATAGCATCATAGTTAAAAAGGTTTTGTGCATCCATTGATCCAAAGGCTAAGCCTAATAAGGAAAGACTTGGATTCTACCAACAGGTGAATTACAGTACACAATCCAACAGGAAGAGTCTTAGGTCATAGGAGTGAGCCCTTCCTTCTGTGATAGGCTGAGGGAGCAGAGGGGCAGGAAGTCTGAGAGATGAGGGAGGAAAGACCAGCATTCTGGACAGACAAGAGCAAAAACATAGCCACCTGGTATGTTATTGTGCTCACCAGGTGTTTCCTAACACCTGCAAAAAGAAGATTTTTTTAAAATTACAGCTTTCTGAGATATATATTTTCAAGTTTCTACTGTAATAGGGCTGGGTGGCCCCAAGAAGCTGATACTATAAAATATTTCCTAAGAAAGCCAATGTGCATCCACCTTTGGGAGCAGATGAGGACAGAGCAGGGCTGTGACTGCAGATAGGAAACTGAGTAACACATAACTGCAGTGTCACAAACTAAAACAGTGGCAGGGAGGATGAAGAGGGTGTGATGTACTGAGAAATATTCAGGAGTTGAACCTAAAACACTTTGGGACTGGTTGAGGACGTGGGGAAAGAGAGAGTGAAGACACCACATAGGCAGAGAAGACAAGGTGAATTTATTGAGAGTTTCCTTCCAAGAAAACTGAGATTCAGGAAGTTTAAAGTCTTACTCGAGGTTATAACGATCTCAAGGTGCAGAGGTGGGGAACTGAACCTCTTCTGCTGATCAAATTTCAAACTGAGTTTTGGCAATTGCCCTTTCTCCTTTGTGATATTTAGACAATATCACAAAAGGCTAAATTTGAAATGAAAAAACAATTAACTTGAAAACATTTTGTATGGTATTTAATTCCTTTTAGGCAATCCTTTAAAAAGAGAAACAGGCTTAGAAAAAGCACACATATATTTGATGATGACGATGACGAAGAAGAAGAAACTGACGGTGCTCCAATAGGAAGCATATCCTCTGTTGCCATAAGAAGAGCCAAGGCTCTCCAAGGAGTCAGGATGACTTAGGTCTGGAGCAAGGCCATTGCCAGAGGGCTGTGTCACTGGCCGTGTAGTTTTGGCCCATTGTTTCATCGGACTGTGCTTTCACAGGGTGATGTCAATAGTAATTATGGCACAAAGTTGTCATGAGCGTTAAATGAGGTAGTGCCTATAAAGTATTTAGCATAGAGTCTAACGGTCACTTCATGTTAGCTGGTGTGATTATTTTACCACTGTTAGGTTGAACCATAAGAAATAATTGATGTCTGAACACTTTTTAACTAGAAAATGATAAGCTAATGTGGTTCAACTTAACAGAATATCAACCTTGACACCTGACCATGTGATATTTATCCCTATGTGTCTTTTTTTTTTTTTGTCATCACCATAAACACCAGTACTCTGTGAGCTCCTGAAGTGAACTAAATCATAAGTCATCTGATATTTAACCCCTAGAAAAAAGCTGAGTTATCTTATGTACTATTCCAGTCCTTATAAAGCTTGAATGTGCTTATGCATCATCTGGGGATCTTGTTAAAATGCAGATGCTGATTCAGAGACAGGGCCAGAGAGTCTACATTCAAACACTCCTAGATGATGCCAAGGCCTCTGGTCCATGGGCCACGCTTTCAATAGCACCATGATGCTTGACAAAGAGTTCTCAAATGACCCTTCCTTATCAGATTCCTTTCCCTAGCCTAGCTCCTAACACTGAACCCTTACTTTAGGCTTCATTCTGCTCCTGGCTCTGGAACTAAAGAGCTAATTCAGCCAAGTCAGATGGTGCAGCCAAGTCAGCTTTGCTGATAATCCTGCTCTGATTTCATGGCCCAGCTCTTACACCAAACTTCTGCATTGTTCTCAGCCTCCGGGCCCTTTAATGTGATTTACACGAGCATTACCCCATGCTGAGATCATCACTGAAGTCTGAAAACATGTCAAGCCTGAGAATTGGTGGCTGATTTGAGATTTGAGGTCGGTGGCCGATAAAACATTGACAAGCCACTTGTGAATAAATCACAAGCACTTTAAATGTAAGGAGTCTTGGCTTTTATCCCATTGAAAATAATCATAATATAGCCACCCTTTTCTTCTCTTCTTCTTTATGCCAGTAAGCACTCAGCTGATCTCTAATCAACCCCGCACTCCCACAGGGTAGATATAGCATCAATCCTATAAGGTAGATAATAGCGTTCCCATTTTAACTGTAAACTGTTGTACTATGCCCAAGTCCAAGCAGATTGGTAAAGTGGGCAGAACACAAATCTGTGATTTTTGTGGGTGTGTCTTTTGCTATACAGTTGCAAGGTAAAACGAAAAGTATTTCAAATACCTTGGGATGAGCGAGTAGCAGGTTGGCAGCTTCCTCAAAGTATTCCAAGTCCACCTCCTGCAGTGGGTGGGGCAGGTCTTCATAGGCAAAATATGCTAATGCCAGGACCGCAAAGCCATGGGCAGACAGAAGGCTGGCTCGGAATTCAACTAGACCCCCCACACCCCCAAACAGATCCATGACTCCTGGAAAAGGGCCTTCCCCTGAGAACAACAAAGAGAGAAGACGATGAGATTAGAAAGAGTAAACAGAGGGTCAGGTAGGCAGCACAGGTGAGCCAAACTGAATTCCACCTTCACACGCGAACGCCTAAGGACAAGTCAGTTTTGACAGATGGTGGGAAATACTAGTTCTCCAATACTTCGATGCGGTTTGTTTTTGCTTTTATTCCCATCAACCGTGTTTTCTCTGCCACCAAAGATGAGTCTCACCTGGAGGGAGGAAAAGGGCTCCTCGCACGCGGCCTTCCCGGATCTGCACCCGCTGCGTCCCCGGGCGCCGGAACCAGCGCTGCACCACCTGGCTGGCCCTGGGCGGAACCGTGGGCACACCATCGAAGTACACTAAGTCGTATAGGTCCAGAGTGACCAAAAAGGGGCTGTTCATCACATCCCTCTTAAGCAGCCTTCCGAAAGGCCGCTCAGGCTTCAGAGACCAGAAGAGGCCCATCGGATGGACCCCCGTGTAGTCGCCTCCACATGAAGGAGCCTGCTTCAGGTCCAGCTCACCAGCCTCGTTAGCCCTGTAGAAGGCTTTGGACCAATGCAGATTCCCCTTCTCATCCTCCAGAGATGCTGTGAGGGTCACCAGCTGCAACGGAGGCAGGCCTGTCGCTCGGATGTGCACCGGCTCATCAGAAAGGGCGCTGGCTGGGGTGGCTGTCAGCTGGACCATTGGCAAGGGACCACCGAGTGGTATTTCCTGCCCTGCTGTGGAAGAGGAGACTTTGAGTAGGAGACTTAAATTGTAAGGAAAAGGTCCGGACAAGGCTTATGTTAGGTCTGGCCAAGTTAGATTTCTGGAGACGGTGCAAGGTCTGCAGAACATTCGGAGGAGGGAGAAAAGGCCTGCAGAGAGAGAATCCCCATTCTTCTCATCTGAACTAGGCGAACACAGGTTAAGTGACAGGCTCAAAGTCTCATGAATAATTAACAGTAGAACTGGAAATTCAAGCTAGGTCCGACACCAGAGCCTCCTGGCTTATCCAGTATATAACACCGTTAAATTTTAGTTTTGTGGTTTTAAATAAGTTGAACTTTAAATCCTCAGTTGAGATAATACCCAAGTTGAACTTTAATTCCTCAGTTGTGATAATACCCATGTGACCAATTTCACCCAAGGGGGCGACACATGAGACGGGGCTTATAGGAGGGGTCAGTGTTGCTTTCCAGCCCCCGTACCTACCAGGGCTACCGCCCAGGTACGTATCGTGCGAGTGTCGGTTTTTTGTCTCTAATCTCTCCCTGTCCTTTCAAGACTGGCCTCCAGCTCTTTTCACTCCTATTATGTGTTTTTTTTTTTAAGGGAAAATAAGACTTTATGATCTTATCTCTGTGTTATTCATAGTAAAAAGACTATACTATACATTTGATCAGTCATTTCTTACTCTGCTCAATTATAAGGAAAATTGGGGGTGTTTCTTTTCTTTCTTCCTCCCTTCTTCCTCCCTTCTCTTCCCTTCCTTTCCCTTCCCTTCCCTTCTTTCCTGATGGTTCTTTCTTTCTTTCTTTCTTTCTTTCTTTCTTTCTTTCTTTCTTTCTTTCTTTCCCTTCCTTCCTTCCTTCCTTCCTTCCTTCCTTCCTTCCTTCCTTCCTTCCTTCCTTCCTTCCATACCTCATTTCTCAAAGGATTTGAACCTGTTTACAGATAAACAAATTCAGAGTAAAATAAAAATGAAGTGAGATCCGGAAGAATGTGAACTAGAATCAGAGGCCTTGATCGAGGGACAGCTGGAGCAGGGAAAGTAGAGCACTTTGTGATCCGTGAGCCTGGTGCTGAATTAGTGGGAGCCCCGGGGTAAAACGGCAACCTGCGATAGGAAAACGTGCGGCCTTTCCAAAAGTTACTCTAAAAACCACGTGTCTCCTAGGAGACCCTGACAGAGGTATGTACTATTTTTTTCCAATAATATCCTCACACACATTGTAGTAGTAGGTGTCCCCTCCAAAAGCTTGATTCTCCAAGGAACCCTTAATTTTTTATGGGGGAATACAAAAATCAAGGCTTTGGGGGTCGGATTAGTGAGTAGAAAAGCTTCTGGAGAAAATAAACTGGCTCTGGCAGGCAGGGAAGGAAAGGGGTTCTTGATGTCTAGTCCTTTACTGTGAAAAAAGTCACCGGAGGTAGGCAATGCTCAAAGAAGGAGAAAATGTCTTTTTGCACTTACTTTAAAAGTGATTTTCTGCAAAGACTACACTCCCTCTCAACCTAATCTCCTACAACCACCAGCATTACTGGCCATTTTATGTAAACCTAAACTCTTGGTCAATTTGAATTAATTGAATGATTGGAATATTTTTCCTTAATACCAGGAAAGTTCTTGACAGAAGAGGGTGGCATCAGCTCGAATTTATGGGTCTTTCATTCATGGTTGTGAGATGGGCAAATATTTTTTTAAACTTCCATGTCCCATGCACATTTTGGTACTCTGTAGGTATTTTCTGACTTGATCCTTCCTGGGCACCTCTGTATCTGCTGTTTCCTTTGTCCCTCCAAAGGAGATCATGAAGGAGGGAGCACTGATTTTCCCAATTAAAAATCCTTTCCCATCTCTTCTTGTTATTATTGTCCTCAAAACTTATACATAATGTATTGACAGACCTCAGATTTATTAGGCCTATGTGTCTTCTGTTCCTTACATAACACTCTCTTATCAATTCAGTGGAAACAAGAAAAGTCTAGGATTAAAATACACACAACATGTGTGTGCATGTGCGTGCATAAACACAAACACACACACACACACACACACACACACACACACACACAAGAAGACTTTGCACCTGTACACCAGGGATTCTCAACTGGGGTTCCGAGGAGCCCTGAAGTTCTACAAAATATCACTAGGGTTTCCCCAAGAGCTCTTAATTGGGAAAATGAGAAACAATTGTTGAACTTCAATGACATATGATGCTAGTATTATGCAATGATGGGTAGTGACTGAGCAACCCTATCAGTGATTTCTTTACAGGTCTTTCATCTCCATAGAGCAGTATGAGAAAGGACCATGTTCAATTGGTTGAGTTCATTCTCAGTTTTGGATGCGGTTAGTGTGGAGGATGGTAGGCTGATAATGTTTGCCTCTCCTTCCTGAATCACCTATCCAAACTCCCCTTATACTTGGTGAAATGAGTTAAGAGAGTAAACTCTATTGGTGTAATAGAAAATCAGAAAAAGAAAATTGCATTCTACAAAATGAATTTTTACACACTGCAACTCAGCTGCAACCCTGACACTTTGCTATTATTGTAACCATTGCAAAGTACAAACAGTACAAGAAGAGCCTTTTAATAAAAATGTTTTCAGTAATTTTTTTCATCTTGTTACTTATTATACCACACTGACACATTTTAGTAAGCATTTGCATTTTACAAATATGTTCATGGTCTGATAGGGTGATTTTTTTAAAAGATAAATTTAAAATGAAAGAAGAGGATAGAAAGACTAGGAACAAGTCTCATAAGAGAATTGATAGAGAATCCCCATTTTCTGACTCATTTCACAAAGGACAACAAAAACAAACTGGTCTTTGCCATGAAGCTACTGATCAAAGGGATTTGGGAGAGTCAGTGTTACAACTTGTTCTGCTCCACTATGCATCATCTTTAACCAACCATTTCCAAAGGAGCAATGACTAGAGGGGAATTGAAAAGAAAGTCGTGTACCACAACCGTCTGACAAGTAGAGAAAGTGCTTATTTTAAATGGCTATTCAAATTACACACACACACACACACACACACACACACACACACAGTTCCCCCTTTTCTTCTAACAGCCAACAATTATTGAGCAACAGCTGCCAGGCTCTCTCAAGGGTAAAGTTGAACACTTTGACTAAACACTCAGACCTTTTGCAGGGGAATGGCTCCCCCACAGCACTTGGACAACTTCCTGGAGGGCGGGCAGGAAACCACAGCCCAGCAGCCTCCCGCTGGACTCGCCTCGTGGTTGGAGAGGGACCCCTCAGCAACACGGACACAGCCTGACAGGGGCTGAAAGCTTAAAACCACGCTCCTAGGCAGGTTCCAGACCTCCGGACTCCCAGGGGAAAGCGGATCCAGCCTACCCCCCAGGGAGAACTTGATCTGTTCAGAGGAAGGACATTCAAGAACTGACCCGACACCAACACACCAGGAGGCAGGACCCACACACAAATAAAAATAAAAAAGAGCGAAAGCTCACCCACAGAAGTAAACATTACTAACCAAGAAACAAAAATGCCATTTCCTTTAGGAGCCCGACACTTTTCTTCATCGCTAGCACGTCCTCCCCCTCCTTCCAAGCAATACATTCTAGAAAAAATTTCTTGAGTCAAGAAACAATCTCTCCACAAATGCACATGAGCTGCACCCTGACTTACGCAGCCAAGGGTTTCTGAGCAATAAACCTCCGCGGATGTTCATCAACGGTCCCTCTTCGAACTGTGCTACCTGCTGAGATGGGAGAAACACACACAGCAAAGTGAAAGCAGCCTGCCCAGGTGCCCTGCCACGGAAACCAGAAAGCAGACCCCTTCTCCCCAGGCCATGACAGCCCTGATCCCCGAACACTCACCCTACATTCGGCTGCAGGAAGCAGTCTGGAGCAGGACGGCTTGCCCAGCCAACTGCCAGCGCTGAGCACTTGCCTGTTGGTCACAATTTGTATCCTTGGAAACACCCCAGCCTACTGTTCGAAGGTCAAACTCTCCACAGAAACCAAAGGCAGTGCCATCCTTTTAAGGCCCCAGTGATGGAATTACTTGCTTAGGCCCCGGATCTGGGCACAGGGCCAGTCTGAGCCGCTGCACCTTTCAGCGTAGGAGTTTCATAACAGAGTCCCGTGTTCATCACACAGCTCTGATCCCCGAGCCTTTTCTCAGCTCGGGCCTCTAGTCTGCTTTGCTCTGGTTCCTCCTGCATCTCCTCCTGTCGGTCCGTGACCTCGTAGGCAGCTGTCTTTTGGGTGGTTTCTAAAAGGTGAATCCCAAACACCCATCTTCAGAGCAGCGTGGAGATATCGCTGGAAATAGTCTAGGACTTGCTGGAAATACCGGGGGGGAACACTTTGTAACGTATATGATTGTCTAACCACTTTGCAGTACACCTGAAACTAATACAGAATAATATCAAATGTAATTGAAAAATAAAATTCAAAGTTCTTTAAGAAAAGACTCGCCTGAGGAGTCTGCTAGAGATCCCTGAACCTTGCACCTGGAGATTCCGACTTGCTGGGTCTGAGGTAAGCTTCTTGGATCTGTAATTTTAACAGATGTTACTCCATAGCCCAGTTTGTGAATCATTCTTCCAAGGGACAGCAGGAGCCCCCAGGTGCAGAAATGTCTCCCCTGCACCTCTGAAATCTGCTGGTTGTTAATCCCATCACTCAGTATCCATTGCCAAAACATACAAGTGATCCAACCTACAGGTTGTAGTCTGTACTTCCAGGCTCTGAACTCCTCGAGGGAGGGGACCATGTCTTTTAATTTTTGCTTATTTTGCAGCCAGTGAGGTGTAGTTGAGACTCCACTGGTCTGTGAAATCCGAGAGACCAAAGACTGAACCCCTGGTCCTTCATCATCTATCAAGGTGACTGACCTCAGGCAAATTATTTAACTTTCCTGTTTCAGCCTTCTAATTTGTGAAATGGGAGGGATACAATAAAATTAAGAGTGAAAAATAAGCCTTGAGGAGAAGGGGTTGAACTTTGGAACTCAAGGGAAGATTGGAACGTCTGGGAGAAGGGCTGGATGCCTTGGCACACGGCTCCTACATTGGCTGAGGGGAACCTTGGCAGGAGGGTAAGGCCCCTGGCTCAGTGATGAATTCCCAGGACCATATCCAAGGATGGGAGGTGGGGGTGGGGGCTGGAGGAGTGCAGCAGAAAGAGTGCTGTTTTTCTGGGACTCTAAAAGAAGCACAGAAAGGGCAGGCAAATCATGCTGCTTCAGTACCCAGGTGATGCAGTGAGGTGCAGGTTACACTGGCACTGAGCCAGGCCTTTTCCACTCTGCTGCCCAGAACAGAAGACACTGGAAACCTGGCTCTCCATGGACCCTTAAAGGATGTAGCAAATGAGGAGTGGAGACACTGGTGGGAGCATGGGCGGTGAGGTGTCAACTGTGTACAAAGCAAACATTAGCAATTGTCAACAGGCAGGTGTGAACCACGCTGAAAAGATTGTGCAGTCTTCTGAGGAAGGAGGAGGAATTGACCCTCCATCCTGCCTTCAGATTTAGTACTGAAACATCATCTCCTCTCTGGGTCTCCAGCTGCTGGCCTGCCCTGTAGATTTCCAGCCCCCAATCACATCGGCCAAATTCTTAAGTCTCCGTCTCTGTCTCTCTCTGTCTCTCTGTCTCTGTCTCTCTCTCTCTCCACACACACACACATACACACACAGGGTATATTGGCTGGGCCTGAGAATTTAACTGACAGAAGATAGATTAACAGGGGAAAAGCATATAAATGTATGTAATGTAAGTTTTATGTGACCCAGGAGCCCTCATATGGAATGAAGACCCAAGGAAATAGCAAAACCTAGTTTCTTTTATATTTGGCTGAACAAAGAGAAGCAGTTGAGGAAGAGTAAGCTATCAGGGGAGGCTAACAGAAGATAAGAATTATTTTAACAAGGTCTGTTTGTACAGAATTCTCTCAGTATCAACTTCTTGTCCTTGATGATAAGACTGTTACTTTCCTTCTGATGTAGGATGACATCTTCCATCCAGGAGTTTTATCTCTTGCTTCCAGAAAGAAAACAAAGAGTTTCTTGCATCTGTTGTTTTTTCAAGTGCTAATTAATACATTTTATGTCAAAGAGGCATAGTTTGGGGTGAAATATTCTGGTTCGCTTTAAAGGAAAAGGAAGAATTAACATTATTAAAATGTCCATACTACCCAAAGCAATCTATAAATTGAACACAATTCCTATAAAGATATCAATGGTGTATTTCACAGAACAAGAACAAATATTTCAAAAATTTATATAGACTACAAAAGACCCTGAATAGCAACAGCAATCTTGAGAAAGAAAAACAAAGTTGGAGGAATCACACTACCTGATATCAAGCTATACTACAAGGCCATAGTAATCAAAACAGCATGATACTGGCATAAAAAGAGAGCAATAGATCATTGAAATAGCATAAAGATCCCAGAAATAAACTCATGCCTTTATAGTCAACTCAATATTTGACAAAGGAGGCAAGAACATACAATGGGGTAAAGACAGTCTATTCAATAAACAGTGTTGACAAAATTGGACAGATACATACAAAAAAATGAAACTAGACCACTGTCTCACACTGCACACAAGAATAAACTCAAAATAGATTGAAGCCTTAAATGTTAGACTCAAAACCATAAAAATCCTAGAAGAAAACATAGGCAGTAGAATCTTGGACATTGCTTGTAGCAATATTTTTTATCATATATTGCCTCAAGCAAGGGAAACAAAAGAAAAAGTAAACAAATGGGACTATATCAAACTAAAAAGTTTTTTGTACAGCAAAGGAAACCATCAACAAAATGAAAAGACAACCTTCTAAATGGGAGAACATATTCACCAGTGATATATCTGATAAGGAGTTAACATCCAAATTTTATAAAGAACTTAAATAACTCAACACCAAAAAATCCAATTTAAAAATGGGCAAAGGACCTGAATAGATACTTCTCCAAAGAGGACATGAAGATGTACAATAGACATATGAAAAGATGCTTAATGTCACTAATCATTAGAAAAATGCAAATTAAAACCACAATGAGATACCTCCTCACACTGGTCAGATTGGCTACTATCAATAAATCAACAAACAATAAGTGTTGGCAAGGATATTTCTATATATATGGAACAAGTGACTCTATTATTAATACCTTTCCCAAGTCCTACAAAATGCTTGGCATCTAAGAACTTACCTACAACATTGAAAAAAAGAAGGATCTTCTCAAAAGAATAAGAATAAAATCTTTGGGGAGGACAAGGAAACTGACATGTATATTGCTCCCTAGGAAGAAAATACTCATAGCTTCATAGTTAGGATTTACTCGCTCCTAAGCAAAACTAGAAGCTGACAAGCCCTTCAGATACACAGAAGTCTTGCCGAGCTTTTTATAACCTCCTTCTTAAAAATTAAGGAATATCCTTCTCCTTTTGCTTAGTATGGAGGAAGCCACAAACAGGAAGCTCATTCTTATTCTAATGACCAAATAATCTGGATTAACTACAAAATCAATTTTGTTTTTGTTTTTATAAATAACTAGATTGACAAGAATGCAAAGAATCTAAATAAATTAAACTGTGAGTGACAAGCTCCTTATAGAAAAGGAAACTTTCCCGTGTGGTGACTTTCAGTATTGATAAAGCAGCAAAAAGAAACCACTGTAGAGACAAATAAGGAGAAATCAACAGATAATTTAATGCACTTTTAATAGTGTGAAGGCTGGTTTGATAGCTTAGAGTTCTGAGAAATTCCAGCCACAAAGTATTTCTCCACTGCCAACTCTTTCTATAGGACTTGATCATGTGCTCAGGGAAGCTGGCTGAGAGAAATCAGTCTAAGGCAATGTAGGCCCTTATACAAAGTAAGGCAGCTGCCTTCCAAAGTAGCAAACTAGAGAGATTTCCCCAGGCTTAGAAAGCCAGGAGCAGGGTATAGTCTTATAGGACTAAACCCTTAACCCTTAACCCATGGAATCCAATGCTATCTCCAGGTAGATAGTGTCAGAATTGAGTTGAGTTCTTGGAAATTGTTTTTTGGTGTTGGGGAACCTCCCCTACCTCCCATGTTAGAATTAGGTTTAGGGACCCAATTTAGGGGGTCTATTCTGGGAAGGGATGTATCACCAGAGGACAACTATAAAGAACTTGAGTAAGGTGTGGTATACTAGGCCTTTGTGTTCAAAGTCCTCTCTGTGTTCCTTTGTCTCTGCATGGCACAGAAACATTTGGTTACCAGACGTTTGATTTTTCATCTCCATGTATATTGTCTTCCACCCCTTTATAGTTCCAGACTCCTACCCCTTACTTATCCTTAGTTCAGAATGGCATAGAAGTCCCAATTGCCTGACTGCCTGTGGGCCTTCATCTTCTTATGGAATCCTCATACATACAAAATTTAAATTGTTTTTTCTCCTGTTAATATGTCTTATGTTAATTTGATTATTAGACAAGTCAAAGAATCTATAAGGGTAGAGGAAAAATTTTCTTCCCTGGCATGACCTCTAATTCTAACATTCAGACAGAATGGGGCTCTATTCATTTCTTGAGGTAAATGTTATTTATTTTAGCCATTACTTTTATTTATATGAAATATTTGGGATACAATTTTTTTTTAAATTACAAGGCATAAAAGAAGCAAGAAAATAGCTCATGATCATGAAAGGAAACAGTCAGGAAAAGACACAAAAATAGCCCAGAGGTTGAAATGATCAGACAGGAACTTTGAAATAATTACAATAGAATGCTATGCAGCAATGAAAAAAAGATCAAATTATTGATATATGCAATAACATGGATTAATCACAAGGGTATTATGCCGAATTTTAAAAAGCCAATCCCAAATGTGATTACATTTATATAACATCCTTAAAATGAGAACATTAATTGGAATCTACCATTCTCTCAAAATAAAAGTTTAATTTTAAAAAATAACTGACAAAAATACTAAAGGATCTGGTGGGAAAGGCACACATAATACAAGGAGAGACTGAGAAATTCACATGCACATGGAAGCTGTATAAAAGAACCAAATAGAAGTTAGGTGGGAAAAATGGTGGTAGAGTGAA